AACCTGGCAATTGAACCTGGCAATTGAACCTGGCAATTGAACCTGCCCGGTGGCAATTGAACCTGCCTGGTGGTAATTGAACCTTTGGATGTCGGAATAGTGGCATTCCAAGTTGTTTGAACGTGGGTGTGGCAGGTGCGTTGAAATACTGTTGCATGGCTTGGCACGAAATGGGGGTTGGTTTTGCCCTGGAAAATGGATTTTTCAATGCAGGCCTATGCGCATGCCTGATGTGGTTACGGCCAATTGATATAGGAGCAGACGCCAATTTCTCTAGCCACCCTCTATTAGACTGGCCAGTGTGTTGCAACTTGCCGGCTGATCAACTGATGGGGGCGCTTTATTCGTACAGTGGGCCCCCGGTTATGTAGATTCAAGTCTCAGTTGACGTTATTGCTTACTTAAGACATCCATCCGACTCTCTGGGACATCTTCAGCGGTGATTATCATGACTGTGGTCTCACGGCACAAGAGAAGGTCAAAACAACAGCGCAATAATCCACGGCACACTCTCATAGTGTACACTATATATATATATCCCACTCTGGTACACAACCCGGCGGCAATCTGGCGTTCTTGTGCCATGTAAGGTACTCAGCGCATCGAGCCGTTGCCAAGGGCTCGGCGTTCGTCACCGGGTGCTCTCCGTCCTTCGGCATCCGTTGCCAGTTGCTTTTTTTTGATATCTTCGCCGGCCGGGCGCACAAGCCACCCCGGGCCTTACACTACACTACACTCCATACCAAACGCCACTGAAGTGTGATCTGATACACGATTCTCTTCAGCCAGCCCCAGCTTTGCATCTTTAAAAACTCAGCCAAACTGGTAACGCTCGGGTGATCCAAAACGGAAAGCCGTCACCAAGAAAATGTCGTTCGATTTTCCGAGAGCAAGTGGAGCCTGTTATCGCTCCCCCACGTTCTTCTCCATGAAATCCCGTCGACTGGCTCGCTTGTGATGCACTGCATCTGCAACATGCCCAAACGGACACCAATTGCAACGACTCTGTATTACCGCCAGCCAACCAACCTGCCGCTTGTGCGGTGATGCCAGATGCTATTACCATATATTGCTAAATGCGGACGTCTTTTCCCTGTACATAGAAAATGGAGGGATTTGGCAGCCACACCGTCCACACGCGCCCGCACACTTCAGCCAGCAATCCATCGCCGACGCCCATCACGCCGACCATGAATCTGCCGCGTGGTAGAGAGCGGAAGAGACTGGGTGTGAATACGTGCATTCCTACAGGGGGCCAACCGTCTTGGCAAGTCTCGCATCGTGGGTAATCTGCCTTCGTTTTCCTCTCAGGTCCAGATCGATGTTGCGCAGGGTCGCGGCAGACGAGCAACACAAGGCAGCCCATCGACCAGCTTGGATAGGTCGAGATAGACTCACAAGTTCGTCAGACCGTCTTGGCGTTTCGATCTCCCGTCTGGGCGCTGCTTCTTACGCCTCGTCTGTCTCGGCTTGAGTCGATGAGCTCGATCGTGCTGCAAAGGTCAAGCCTGCACCGATCCTTGGAGGCTCACCGGTGCCAGTCTGCTCGTCCTTCTCCTCGGGTGTCAGGTCAGCAGCAGCTACCTACCATCACGTCCTCGCAGCCAAGGGCTGCCCCCCTTGCAAGGCGATGCCAAGAAAGGCTTGTTCGTCCCCCTCCATTGCTTGTTTCCCCGCTCTTCAACGTCGTTTTGATATCAACCAGGATTGGAGCATCAACGGCAGTCAAGGCTCACTGCTCAAAGACCGGTCGATTCAACACCATCACACACATACACCAATAGGCTGTTGCCAATTGAGAAGCAATGTTCTCCAAACCTCGTCAGAGCCCGCATAATCACGCGGCACGGATGCGTCCTGCTGTGTCCGCGATATTATGCTTACTGGCTTGACTCTTTTTCCCCGCGCTCAGGGTGTACAAAGCCATCCTGATCAGCCAACTGCTACCAAGTACGACCTGGAACATGACAGATGCGAGAGATGGGAAAGGTGGGCACGGAAAGGGGAAGAGGAGGTGTCCTTCATTCCGCACTGCTGGGATGGGAGGAGCGGTGTGAATGCCGCTCTGGCGCATGGAGGTGGACTGTAATTGCTCCATCTTCCCAGGAGTCAGTCAACAAGCTGGAACTTTGGTACATACAGAATTGGAGCCTTGGACGACGGAGAAGGATGACGACAAAGAGACGATCATCGTGGATACTAAACCGCGGGTGGGAGCCTTCTTTTTCGATCTCATTGGTTCTTGGCAAGGCCAGAATCAGTTCTTCCCCAAGGTCTCTTCTCAGTGCGTCTGCAACCTACTTAGGGGCGGGAGGTTGAATTGTGGAAGGCAATCATCGATTCATTGGACAAGCTTTCATCAAGGGCTCCAATGGGCAACTATGCCCGCCCAGTGTCCCTGACAGGAGCCTGCTCGCATTGATTGGCTCTACCGAACGAAAGAGTAGAAGGGAACAGGTGTTGCACGACGGCTTTCGGCACTCTAGCCCTTCTCAACATGGTCATCGACATGGTCTGATATCAGCAAGTTGAAGTTCAGCCAGCCCAGCCAGCACATCATGATAGACATGGAAAATCCCGCACGCATGTGTTTGCATGTGTTTGGGACAGGCTAACCTCTATCCACCTCTCCTATCTGGTTCGTCTCTGGATTGGCTGGCCAGGCATCAGGTTACTAGATGTACCAGATACTTTACTATCGCTGGCTGCCAGCTAGTCACATCTCCTGGTTGATACCCAGCTTATTCCCCTTGCCACGAACAAAGCCAATGCCAACCAAACCAAGGGCGTTCGTAATAAGCTTTCACATTCGTCCGACGTGGAATTATCGAAAAGTTCGGTACCTGCAGCCGGACAAGGACAACTGTGAACCACTTGGCATCGGTATTCCGTCGCTTGGCAAGGAAGCCAAGACGGTCAACCGGGACCCCTTTTTCTTGACATTGCCTTTGATCTTGGGAATATCAAGATGCGATCTGATACAGATTCAGACCAAACCAGAAAACCCAAACGATCCAAGTGCTCGGGTCCTCGAGGCCAACATCACGGGATAGATGGCACATCCACACTTTTGCCGACTCGGAACCGGCTGACGTCTACAGCCAGCAGGTTGCACACCTTTTGGCCCCACCTCAGGATCCCAAAGAATGCCCTACCGCTCCAGAGGGCCGGTGAGTGGCCGGAGGTGATGACGCGAAGTGACCCCAACAAGCTTCCGACAGTCTGTTTGGTTTTGTTGGAAAGTTGTGCGCCCCTTACGGATAGAGCTTCACTTCTTGCTATTCCCGACGTGCCGTCTTTGCCGGATCCGCTGACCGGTGGTGGCCGCCGCGACGCCCTGCTGTTCGATGACCAGCAGCTGCGCTACGTGGAGCGCTGAAATCGCGGCCCTTCTTCCTGTGGAAAAGCGAGCCAAAAAAAGCCACGATTCATCACAGTCCTCCTTTTTTGGGTTTCTTTGAGAGGGGAGGTGGGTTCCATCTGTTTTTTGTGATTCGAGTACGACTAGTGGAGCTTGTTTGGCGTTATCTGGTTGCCAACAAGGAGGACAAGCAGGACAAGAGGTCATCAAGGTTTCTTGGGTTACATCCAACTAACCAGACAGAGTATCCATATCCATATTCCAGTCCTGCACAGTGCTGTGTATCTTTGGGGAATGCTCTCTTGTTGATGAGCTGGTTTTAGACATCGTCGATAGCCGCACGAAATGCCCACAGGTTTATGATCAATTTATCCGTCGCCGCTGTTACAGCGATCCCGCCCCCGTGCGCACCCGCGCCGAGGGGCCGACCGAACCGCCGAACGAGCGAGCGAGCCTGGTGAGCCTTGGGCCTTCCTTCTTCCGGGGCGGGCCTAGGATAGTTCCCCACACGGCAGATGCAAGTAAGGTACATAAACACGGACCAGGTAAGCCCCGGGACCCCGACATCCCGAGTTATGATGATGAGGTGGTGATGAATGTTCAACCCCCCGCCGAAGCCTGGGAATGATGTGGGGGATTATTCGGTACGGGAGACCGGTTGTTTTTTGTTTATCCCTTTCCCCCCCCACAAGTACGTAAAGCCGAGCCCGATTAGTCATGATGGGAAAGCTCTCTCTACACTCCAACCCTGGTATTTTTGTTAGCGTGGAACTTCACGATATATCCTACCTCCAAAAACTCAACCACCACCAATTTTCACCGGGAAAAAAAGGCACCGTAATATTCTTCTTATTATTCTCAATAATAATCTCTAAGTGAGTGCATTATTTTGTTGTTCTGGACGCAGAAGTTGTAGAGATTCGAAAATCTGAGCTTAACCCCTGTCATGGTCCCAAGCTAACAAAAATACCAGGGTTGGAGTGTATGCCGATCTCCTTTGTTTACGTACAAGTATACCCCGTAGTAGGCAGGTCAGCAATATGCATGTTTGGGAGCGTGACGAACAGAGAGACAGCGTTTCCCGGTTTTCTGGAAGTTCTGGAAGCTTTATTAGTTGTTCGGGGAGGAGACCTATCAAGGTTGAGATATGCAGCACGTGTACTGTGGTTCTGAAGAAGGTCTCACAACTACACTACAAGACTGCCTGCCGCCGTCCCCCACGTAAAGGGGGTTGTTTTGATAGACAGCTGTCAAGCACGTTACATGCAGGAAGCAGGGAAGAGGAGGAGGCAAGTACCACGCGACCACGTTTATGGTTTGATATCCAGTCATTTAGGGATGTAGGTAAAAGTCCTATCTGTCTTGTTGGGGGGTGTTGTCACAAAGGCCAAGGTTTTGTGGTAGAGCAAGTGCCGGATGGGGCAACATGGGCAAACAAGAGGCGCTATCCTGGGGAGTTTTGTTCGTTCGGGACAAGCCTGGGGTGTTCTCCACTGGAGTTGAGAGAGGAAGGGAGATCCACCGGACCCAAGAGTCCCTGAGTCAGGAATTGTGGTGAGGGGGAAGTGGGAGAGGTTCGTTCGTTCATGAGGGGGGGTTTTTCAGAGAGAAGAACAATGACCCATGACAAGAAAAAACAGGGAGCTTGGCTCAGTTGGAAGAGCGCAGGTCTCATATGAAAAATTGTCAGAGGATGATGACAAAGAGAAATATGATCTGGTTGTATAACATCAGAGTTATCCTGAGGTCGTGAGTTCGAGCCTCACAGTTCCCATTCTTTTATCACGCACTATTTGCTTTTTTTTAGGCTTTTTGGGTTGGGTTGAGTCTTTTCTTACATACTGCTTCGCTTTAGGGTACAGTAGAACTCTTGGTGACTATGGGTGAGTAGTTGTGGTGATAATTGTTGTGTTTCTTTGAAGGAGATGGATGTCACTTCATTGCTGCGGGGTTAAGCGCTGCTTATTACCTTCCTTCCATTGTGTGTCTCAACAAAAGAGGTGTTGTTGTTTTCTCAGAGTCAGACTTCGGTGAAGCTCTACTGTGCAACACAAGTGTTACCCTGCACAAGGTAGGTAGCTGTCATGCCACCTTTGAGCAGACACTTGATAGCAACTTCTGTCAGTTAAGTCGGGCGGATGGCTTAATTCTCTGCTTGGTCGTGGTCTTGTCAACATTACATATGCCTAGGTTAAAAGGGAATACATAGCAAAGCCAAGGGCATTGCATATAGTCCTGGATTCTGAAAAGTAGCCACAGCCCCATGGCAGCGGTGTATCGGTGTGTGGGCTCAGGGGTAATCAAGGGCGTCATGAGGTCACGGAGTATATATAAGGTGATTCTTTATCAGTGTCAATAATTCCTACCCAGTGATCATATCTTTAGCACTCAAGACTTTCTCATTCTCAATTAAAAGAATGAGAAAGTATTCTGTCGGTATAAAGGGGCTATGTTCAGACTTGGAAGTTGACCTACTGCTACAATATCTTCTCTACAACTGTTACACCAACTGATAAGACTTTTCGTAATCCTTGAATAATGAGAACTTCATCTTGGCCGAGAGACCATTACCCTGGCCTGGCCCCTAGAGTCTCAGAGACAACATAACTGCGATAGCAGAGCTTTACCGGGTAAGTGAGGTGAGGTCAAAACCGGCGTAACCCCTGCATAGGTGCCATACTTTGAGATAGCTTAGAGGCACGCCTGCAAACAAATTCTGAGGTGTTTTCGAGTTCCAAGCTCAGAAATGGCCAGTCAATTTAGGTACCTAGTCTATGATTGTGCCAGGTCAGCTCAAGCTCCACCAAAGCCGCAAACAGTATAACATCGTCATCGTCACCGCTGACGAGATGGTAGCACAAGAGACGACTCAGCCTCTGTGATTGACCACAGACAAACATAAGCTGTCAGGTTATACGTTCCGTCAAATACAGAGTCAAAGTCAAACAAGGGGGGTCAAAGACAAGTGATGCTTTAATCCGTTTCTATGGCCACACTCAAAGTCCACGCGTTGGGGTCATGGCATAGCCCCTGAGATACAGCCTCTCCTTACTGCTCACTGCATGCTCTGTCTATCCTGACAGCGCTCAAAGTACCTGATAGCTCATGTCGGTTTGCGGTACGGCGTGCTCAAAGATTCACACGTACAACTGCCAGACCTTAGGTAACTTCACATAGGTAGCTAATGACAAACACGACGAAAGAGCCCGCCAAGACGGTACTCGGTATTTTCCATCTTCACACAGCATATCTGCCAAGTGTTACACTTGCATCTTCTAGGTATATGAGTTACCTTCTGTGAAGCAACGCGGTGAGCCTCTTGGCAGGTGGCACCGCCTGAGTGAACGTAACTGAGGGATGAGCAATCCGGTGCGTTTGCTTGGCAGCTAGGTGCTTTGTTCCAGGCTTTCAATAGAGAATCTAGAGCAGGGTTATACTGTCGTACTTGCGTGCTTTTTGTACCACTCTATCGATAGAATCCTAGTTGAGGAGATAACCAAGAGGCAACTCCTGACGAAGGTTTTGACCGAGCATTTGACGACCTCCCTGGTTAGGCAGGTACCACCAGCATTGGCAAAGACATTCCTTCTCACACGAGTTCAAAGTCCGAGGTCAACTTGCCAAGAGGCCGAAGGGAGTATGATGGTTCATAACTCAGAGGAGGTTGCGTAGCTCATCGGCCTGCAGTGGCAGGTCAAATTTAAGCTACCTAAAGCAGTCCAAGTATCGATACAAGCTATCTCCCATCACACCGCAGGGGGATCACTCGGCCATGATGCCACTACCCGCTGCATCAACAGTCTATATCCGCCATGAACCTATCTGCCCAAGGGTTGTCGTCGGAAGAGATGCATCGTACATGAGGTAGTGCAAGGCAAACCTTCTAGAAGGTCTGTCCAGGTGATGCCATGCAGTAGTGCCCATGACGATAGATTGATATTCTCTCTTCGCCTGACCTGTTGTAATACGCGAAGGCGGATTGATGCTTGTTATGAGTGTAAGGGTGGGCACCGAGGTGACTGCCTCTAAGAGTCTTTGCGTGTTAGTGATATAATACGGGAAAGAGAATTTCAAGGGAAATGGGATTGGACAATCGAAATCAATAGAACCCGGTAGTTAAAATCTGAGAGTGAGAATATCCTAGTTGTAACACTGTGTTCAATGCGTGCAGATCAGCAGATCGTTGATTGATCATCACAAGCTTCCTGAACCTTAAACTTGCAGGCAATGCTTGCCGGCCGAGACTCTGAACAATAGAACAAGACAACGTTACTTTGACATAGTTAGGTAGTTTTGTATAGGATACCGGATAGAGCGCCCTTTGGGTTGCGTCTTGTGCAACAACTGCCTTGGACTGGCGGATGACAGCCGTGACACTGTAACACCTCACCGCCAACCCTTCACGTGCTGGCCACTTGCAGGCGACCTGAACCTCCTGACTGAGAAGACAGAGAATACTAAGCCACCGCCTTTAGAGTCAGGCGGCGAGGAAGCGGCAGGCAAATGGTTTGCGTCTGAGCACCTCAAGACCTAGAACGCCTTGTCCTGTGGCCTGTCTTAGCGCGAACGACTCACGGCTCGACGGGGGTGAGGGAGGTGTACCCGCGGCCAACACCCTGATGATTTGTCCGAAACACAAGCCAAGCTAGCCGTTACCATTTGCTCTTGAGGGCGTAGATCACCCTCATGGACCAAGACAGCACACGCAACATGTTGGTATGCACTCGCCAGTCACTTTCAGCCCAGCAGAAGAAGCAACACGGGGAGGTGGGATGTGACTCCGGAAAAGGAGTTTGCCGAGTGGTTTATAACGGCCCGAAGAGCCTGTCTGTTTCTTGCTTTGGGTGGTCATGATGGCGTGGCCAGAAGACTTGATCGGCTTCAAGTCTCAGTTCTGATTCGTGATACTATCAACATCATGGGCGAGTGACAGCTTCTGGAGCAAGTCAACGACTTGGTTGGGTGAGCAAGAATAAAATGTTTCGTCACATACCTCGAGTTCAAGTTTTTTTTGTGTTGCTTCTTCTGTCAATCTGCCTACCAACAGGAAAGCTATCCGCTGTCTCAGTGGAAAAAGAAAATAGCATAACGATCCTGCCGCCCTCTGTTGACCCCTCCTTGACACTCACCATATTGATGATGATAAATGGAGGAAGACATCCGGGTGTAAAGGTGTAAAGCAGTCATCTTGCTGAGGAGCAGTCGTGTCTCCTGTCACTCGTTCCTTCCCAAAGACACTCTTTTAGGAGTCAGTTGCTGGCCATTCTTCTCGTCGCCTTACCACCTTAACCACCGCCCTTCAAACCGCCCCTCAACACCGCTCTCATTCAAGAGCAACCCTAAGACCGATTCTGCCCTTGATATCGACTGTAAACAGTACCCCGCAGTCAAACCATCAACAAGTATCTCCATCAACAATCATCTCACTCAACAGCCACAACGTCTTCTCTCAACTCTCACCACTCGCTCAAACAAGCCGAACCATATCAAACCAAGCCACACAATCCTCTTCCCCCAAACCCGCCCATCATGTGCGAGTACAAGCAGGTATGTCCGTTGAATTTTGTTATCCATTTCCCCGTTGTATTCGACTTCGACCTGGCCTCTCTCTCATCCTTGTGGTCATCGACTGTCGACTCCTTCCAGCTGGATTCGCCGATTTCTTTTGACATGTATAGTCTTTGACTCGCTCTTCATCATCCTGTTGCGCTGCTCATCATGCTTTGTCGCCCTTCTAGTGTTTTTCATTTTGTTCCGTTGCTTTCCTCTCCTGGTTCTCCAACGAATTTCCGTCTTCATCTCGTTCGCTTGCTTGTGCTGTTTTCATTCCATGCTGGTTTTCCTACCAACCGCTCGCAAACGCTTCATCGACCTCGTGCTAACGCTGATCCAGAGAGAGTACCTCGGCTGCGGCCACCTCCGCTGGCTCGCGACCAAAAACTGCGAAAAGTTCAAGCAGTATGGCAAGATTGCCAAGTGCGAGCCCCAGATTCTGGAGTTTGAGGAGTCGTAAGTGTTTTGCCCCTTCCCCGTTGTCTCTCTCGATGTGTTCGGTCGACTGATACTGGGCGAACAGTCCCAAAATCTGCGGCAACTGCCTCACCAAGGACAACCCGCCGCACCTGAGCCTCATGTTGGATCCCAACTCGCCCATGGGGCGCTATTTCTCTCGGCCTTGAGGGCTTTGCGTTTGAACGAGGAGTTGACGAAATGTAATGATACCCTGGGTTAATGGATGGGGCGGGTCGGAATCGGATCGGTACGGGCAATGGGTTGGACGATTGGGCGTGGGGAAAATAATTCTTGGCCGTTTTCTTTTCTTTTTGATTGGGACGCCTTGTTGTCTGTGCCTGATGCCTATTTCGAGTCTGTTAATGCCTCTGTTGCTTTGTTTTGATACCTCTGGCTGATACTGGAAGGCTTGTGTCTGATGCCGTGATGCCTATGTGTGAGGTGCTGGATGTCGATATCCGATCTCGTGGTGTTTGTGTTGGTTTGCCGTGACGCCTGTGTCTGTTTTCCAGGCCCTCCAAAAGGCACTTGATCATGGAATCAACCATGATGCCTGCGATGGCTATGTCTTATGCCTCAAAGCTTCTGGCCGCACTGTCCCCGGCACCTGACGATTTACCTGCACTGTTGTCGCTGTATGTTCTGCGAGCGACGTCTCCAACTCGCAGTTTCTGTTGAGCCTGCATCAAAGACCAAGGCTCAAGTCACCTCCCTGCGATGCCCTATCTTCGTTTGGTGTTGTCCCCGGCCAACCATTGCAGT